TTTCAGGTCGCCTCTGCGCGCAGTTCCTCTGCTGACTCTCCCGGCCTTTGCCGTGTGGGCTAAGGAATCAATTCTAAAGAAAAAACTGGACAAGTGTACAACAGTCTTTACAAGGATTGTATTATTAAAATATCATATAAAATGGCAATTGGAAAAAGCTTAAAAGTCCAATGGTACTGGAATGGAAAAATAAGTGATAATGCATTCACAGAATGGGATGCTGTGCAGATATTAAACAAGATATTCTAGTTGTACATTTATTGCTTAGAAAATGCTTCATGATATATTAAGTGCAAAAAAACAAGTTTCAAAACAGTGCGTGTATTATGATCCCATTTCTCCTTTGTTTTATTTTTTCACATACATATGTTCATAGATAAAAGTGAAAAAGCCTGTTCCCTAACAACAAAAGTAATTGGGTCTGAGTAAAATTACAGATCCTCTTTTGTATGAGTACTGCGCTTGTCAGTGTGTTTATGGTTTCCACAGTGAAAAACTATCACATTGGTAATCAGGCAAAAGGAGAAGGGAATATCTAAAAACAATGATTTAAAATTTTCAGCATAAAAATATGCAGACAATTTATAGGATAAATTATAGGATATAATTGTCTTAATTGACTAGTGATGAAAATTTAAATGACTAGGTATTTATTAAATAAAAGAGCCCTTTGGGAAGCCCTTATTGTAAGAATGAAAGCCATAGTGGCTAAAATGTTAGAAGCCAAATTGAAATTCTAGCACAAAGAGTGACTAATGGGTTGAAATTCTTCCAAATCAGGCAAAGGCCCTAATTCTCTTCAGCACAGAGGTTTGAAGCTCAGATGACAAGCAGATGGCGAAATGGGAAATCCTTCAAAGTTGTTGTTTTTAATAACTTCTTTTGCAATCTAAAAGGGCATTAGCTGTGATCAAAAATGACATTAGACTCTCTTCCATTAAATATTTTATGAAAATAAAACACTCCCTGGAGAATTGTCATCCAAATAATGTATTGTCCCCCGAGGACTGCAGGGCTTGGGTTTATAAAGATGATAGGCCACTTCACTGGCCATTTCATTGATGAGAATTTACAGGCATAAGCAGATGCTAATCCATCCTGCAACTAAAGCCTCTGATCCACCAGATCTGCCTGATGAGTCCACTGGATTGTATGATTTTTCTAGGTATAATAGAATAAGTGATCAGAATCAATCCTCAGCTTACCAATCTTACCCAAACTCTGACAACCCTATTGACTACATCATTTTTAGACATTTGTATTAGTCTGTTCCTGTTGCCTATAACAGAATATCTGAACCTGGGTAATTTATAAAGAAATGAAATTTACTTCTTACAGTTTTGGAGCCTGGGAAGTTTGAGGTTCAGGGAATATATCCGATGAGGGCTTCCTTCTTGGTGGGGGCTCTGTACAGAGTCCTGGGGCAATCAGGGCATCACATGGCAAGAATCGGCAGAGCCAAATAGAGCTACCTTCTCATTTGCTTTCCTTTTAAAGCCATCAGAACCGTGCCCATTATTCCATGAGAGGATTGATCTATTCAAGAGGTCACAGTCCTCACAATCTAATCACCTCTTAAAGGCCCCACTTTTCAAGTCCCATGATCAGATTTCCCACCTTCTTAGCACTATTACAATGGGGATCAAGTTTCCAATACATGACCTTTTGGGGAACACATTTAACCCATAGCAGCATCCAGAACAAATCTCAGAAACACATATATCTATGGGACCCCTGACCCCAAACTTCTTTCTTTGTATGAAATGGTCAACACAGATCAGAGTTTAAGGCCATGGGCTCACATCTGACACAACTTTGCCACTTTGGAGCTTTAAGTCCTTCAGTAAACTTCTTAACTTCTCTAGGCCTCAGTTTCCTCCTCTGTACAATGGAAATAATTATAATCATACCTATTATTATTTGATTGCTGTGAGAAACAGGTGAATAACATGTGAGGTGCTCAGAGTACCTAGTACATAGTCCTCAATGAAAAAGTAGCTTGGGTTTTATTTTTATTAACAGTATCTTTTTTTCTAAATCTTCATCAGATATTTATTTCAATCACTTTACCTACTGTTCATTTTAGATTAGTTTCCAGAAAAGTTGTTACTCGAAGATACAGACGTGTGTAAATTTAAGTTCCTCCTTTTATACCAACTGCTTAAAAAAATCATAGCTAAGGATGTTACAGACACAATTAAATCCACTTGTGATATAATGCTTCAATGAATCTTTCTATGAAATTCATCAGGAATATTTTAATATTTTTATACACATGAACCTCAGTCTTACCCTATAACTTACTCCGAAAATCACAGTGAACGTGCTCTTTGTGCTATATGTCTTGCAATGATATTTAGACAAAAGCCATGAAATCTAACCTGACCTAGTGATAAATGTGGCGCAGCTGACCTGCATGTAAAATTGGCAATTCCAGCTTCCAACCACACCAGAAAAGAAGCCCTGGGTACCTTTAATGTGAACTTCAAAGTAAAGCACTTTGTGAGACAAGAACGAAGACGTACAATCACATTTCAAATGGATTTATGCCTTCTGACTAATTGACTTGTTAACTATGCTAATATGTTCATGTCTGCCTGCCTTTTTATATTTCTTCAACAGATAACGCTATAGAATTGAATGTCGTGAGATTAAAGAGCAAAGAACCTATAAACCTCTTTTCTATAAACCTCTTTTCTAAAGGAAGACAGACTAGACTTCCAAAACAGCTTATACAGTTTTTGTGTATCTCCAAACATTTTATTTGTGTAGCAAATGTATTGCTTCTCAGAAGACAGCCTCTTTTAATTAGGCATTGTAGCCTAAGGGGGAAAAGCTTCAGCTTTTTCTATTTAGACAGGAACGACTTGAAAATGACAATACTGGATGCACTTAGCAGTCCTGTCTCCTACCAGTTGTTCAAAACACAATGAACGAGGACAGGAGCAACAGCAGAGGTGATTCCATCTGAACTCCATGCCTTCTGTCGTTCCCAGGTGGTGCCGGAGGCCAGCAGGGCTTCCTGGGCTGCATCCGCTCCTTGAGGATGAACGGGGTGACACTTGACCTGGAGGAAAGAGCAAAGGTCACATCCGGGTTCAAATCCGGATGCTCGGGTCACTGCACCAGCTATGGAGCAAACTGTGAAAACGGAGGCAAATGTCTGGAGAAATACCATGGTTATTCCTGCGACTGCTCTCATACGGCCTATGACGGGACATTTTGCAACAAAGGTAAGGCAGAACCAGTTTCCAGAGCCATGTTTGTACATCTTTTTAATACCAACTCATCTATTTAATGATTTTTCAACTGTGAGCAAGTGTACTTTATTCTGAGGGTAAGGTGATCAGAATTCCTCTCTCACCTTTAGTAAGAAGTTTCCTAAATCATCCCCTAGCCTTTGTTGTTTAAGAAGACAAGAGAAGCTTTGAGTGTGGTGCAGAATTTCCCCCAGACTCCTGCAAATTACTCACGGACAGAAACATTACAAAGCAAATAGGCTCATCACATCTTAACAGTGAGTGACAAAATAAGTGGCTTCTGAAAGGGGACTCAGGCCTGACCCTCCCACATCAGGATCTCTGATCAATCAATTAATTGATTAATTGCTGCAGTGAATCAGCCAACGCAGCCCAGTAGTCTTAATGCCTGCGCCCTCCCCCCGCCCCACCCCAGTTGCTGAGAGGCTGGTTTCAAGCTGTACTCACAGGAAAGCTCCAGGTCAGTCACTGTCATTATTATCATTATTACTCCCAGGACACTCTTATGACTTTGGTCTCAGCCTAAGCTAAATTGCAGGACACAGTAATACCACACCTAACTGGTCAGCATAGAGCATCTGTTATTTCTATGTTATTTTAGTGTTGAATGCTTTATTTAACCCCCAATAAATTCTGCAGAGCCAATGAGCAGAATACAAGAGCCCAATGCATACGCATGTTATCATTTGGGATATTCCCTGTGATCCTGCATGACGGCAGGAAATTCACTCAACTGGTCTGTGACTTAATTTCCTATATGTAAACAAGAGGCACATAGAGAAGAGAAGCTGGCACTTTTCCTAAGCTACGATTGAAATGCATGTAAATCAGTCTTTTCTTTCTAAATAAATGCGTAGCGTTTGGGTAAAGTTTTCTGTAAACGGTTGGTGCATCTCTTAATAAGAAGCTTTACATAAGTAGCCTATTCATATTCTCATGAATACGTGGAGGGCTGTTTACCCTGGCATTATTCACACAAGATGCCACACACAGAAGGAACAATCGTTCCATAACACTCTCTGTACAATCAGGCTACTGTCTGACAGTGCTATAATATGAGCATACAAATTAGGTCAGACAGGGTTTGAAGAATGAGCACAAGACAGCCACAAAGGTGGAAAGAAACACCATTGCTGAATAATACCATAGCACATCAACAGCTCTGTTACAGTGCATTTTTCTGCTCAGAACAATATGGTTCCATGATTTTCTCGTGGCACACAATGGAATGGGCTTGCAGAACACATTGATTTTGCACTTGTAGGAATGACAATCTTGCAATTACCATTCATTGTGCTTGATGCTAATTTAATGCAGTCATTTTCTTGCCAAAGTAACGTCTGAATGCAATCAAGTGAGCACTAATGCCTGAGAGATTCCACTACATAAGTACCAATTTAAAGAAAATCACGATCCTCTTATTTTTGGAGTTGGGCTAAACATGGTAGCTCACACAAAACCTCTGGGGGTTAATAGGCAATACTCATGAAGAGAAAGGCAGGGGTATATATCCTTCAGTTTGGCCAATATTGGAGGTAAAGGTAAATGGAGCCTATGTGTTTCCTTGACATAATTTCAAAGAGTTTATACAAAAGACATCTAAATATTCTCTTAATATCTGTTTAGTAGAATGAGTTTAAATTTGATTCAATGAGTGTCTTTAACCAAAAAAAATTAAAACTCAAAATTGCGTAGTATTTGGAAAGCATTTGTGAGCATCCTTCTGAGCCAAGACAAGTATCTCCTTGACTAGGGGAGGATGAGAGCAGTGTTGGTTTAGAGGAATCGTGTGGCCATCCAGGAAAGCTTCGTCTGCACCGAAGCAAGCTCCTTCACGTGCCAGGAGAATCCTTCCTCTGAGGCTTCCAGCCCGGTGCCTCCAGTGCTCTGGAACTCACCACCCATGTGCCTACACAGCAGTTCCCGTGACTCCATCTCATACCAGTGCTGCAGCCAAAAGGCTCAGCTGCTGGAAAGAGCGGCCACACTCACTGGCCAAAGAATGAGCCCTGGGATGTCCTCCTCTGGCTTTCCTTTGATAGGAGAGGTCTGTGCTTGTGGATGTGGAAAAATTCCACTATATTTTGCTAAATGAATGAAGTAGATCCCAACTTACAACACATAGCCCGATTACATGTTTATATACAATCAAACACACACACAAGCACACATTCACCCAGAGAGGTGAGGAAAACAGACTGTGAGAATACACACCAGCCCGATTACATGTTTATATACAATCAAACACACACACACACACACACACACACAAGCACACATTCACCCAGAGAGGTGAGGAAAACAGACTGTGAGAATACACACCAAAATATTAAGTATGGTTATTTTTTGCAGGAGGGTGAAAATACGAGTATTTTTTAAATTTCTTTTTTGCTGACCTATATTTTCTAATTTTTACCTAATGATGTGTTACCTCTAAGTTCATCATTTTTTCTTCCTCTCAAGAAAAACAATGCTAGGAGGTAGAATTCTTACTCCAGGCATTTAAGAGTTAACTGTCTCTGATCAGAAAATATGTAGCTATTAACTAAAAAATATTGTATCACCTAGTGTTACTATCTGGAATGGAGTAGCACATCAGGTGAAAATTACGTATAATTAAATTACCCTTGAAAATCCCCTTCTCAATATTTTTAACACAGCCCATTTTTCCACAAGCATCCAAAGTGATCTCCCTTCAAATGGGCATGGGAGAAAGAAATGCCAGGCTGGGGCCAGGTTTCAAAAATAAAACTGGAGACATCTGTATCATACTTGGCCATGTGGGAGGCTCACACTAGATGGGCTTGGGACCTGGCATGGCTCAAGGGGACAGATCAGCCAGGTCTCTCCCCAGTGAGGTACTAGCCCATCCAGGGAACGGTGGGCAGATATCCCCCACTTTTTAAGTCTGTTTCTCTCTCCTGCTCCTCTCCCTCCCCCCCATGAGTATGTTCTTTATCTCTATGTCTATCCCTGTCTCTGTCTCTCTTTCCCCACATTCCATACCTACTTTCCCTATCTCCATCTCTTCTGCTTGAGTATATGATTGAATTCATGTTCATAAATCAAACCACCATGTGCTGTTGCTTCACTGAACTCAGGAAGACAGGGCTGGATTTGAGCAGGTCCTTTATGATGAGTCTCTTTTGCTTCTTTTGGCAGGGGAGGGGAGGTGGACAGCCGGCATGGGGGTCTGCACTCTTGACCTGGTGTCATAACACCACACTCTAACCACCTGAGCTAGCCGGCCAGCCCCCCCATTTGCTTTGTAGATGATACACTGAGAGTCACTATCTTCCACTAGCAAAAAACATACATTCGAGAAACTCCTGCCTGCTCTCCTCTGATGCCTTATCAAAAACTGCTCCCAGAGTCCTTTTTCAAATGGATCCATAAAGATTTGATCACCAGTTAAGGTATTAGCTCTCCCTGGGCTATTTACATCTTAAACAGAAGTGCTGACTGGAGAAGACTTTGTGTTTGGAGACAGCTCAAGGGCATTCTGGAAACCTTATAACTAGACCATATAGCCAGTCACTTAGTCTGTCTGTAGATAACCGCACAGTATCCCATGTTCTCAGAATGTTCACCAACTGCTGCCATTTAACTCAGCCAAGACAGGTGCATTCCATGGCAGAATTCCTTGGCAGCTCATTGGCTGGGACTGTGAATTCTTCTAGGAGCAGAGAATCACCCCAGCCTACATGGAAGTCTGTCACCCCCAGGATTATTGGGGACCTCCATCGGGGACCAAATGGATAGTTGCTTGGCCATGCCAAAGATAGTTTTCTCTAATTAAGCCTATTCCTTCTTCGATAACCAAACCCCCAAACACTCAAGAATGTTATGATTATCAATGTCAATTTTATCACTAATCAGAAATTAACAACACAGTTTGAAGCGTATTCATTTTGGTCTTCTCTGTGTTTTTAAGCAAGAGGAAAAATAGCAGACATTCAGGGGCTATAGCAATTTCTATGTTTAAGTTTTGTGGTTGAATGCTATTGTGGGTTGAATAGTGTCCCCCCAAAATTCAAGTCCACATGGAACCTCAGAATGTGATCTTGTTTTGAAATAGGTTCTTTGCAGATGTAATTAGTTAAGGTAAGGTCATACTAGATTATGGTGGGCACTAAATCCAGTGAGAGTGTTCTGATAAGAAGAGGAGAGGACACAGAAAGACATACAGACACACAGAAAAGAATGCCCTGTGAAGATGGAGGCAGAGACTGGAGTTATGCTGCCACAAGCCAAGGAACACCTGAGGCCACCAGAGACTAGAAGAGGCAGGTAAGGATCTCTCCCTAGAATCTTGGAAGAAAC